AGAGTTCTGCCTACATGTATGTATGTGCACCACTGAGTGCCTGGTGCCCGCAGAGGTCAGAAGACGACATCAGATGCCCTGGAACTCACAGATTCTTGTGAGCCACCATGTTTGATTAAACATGCTTTACTTCACAAGTAGGGCGTGGTCAAATCTATGAAATTCAGAAATCATGATTGACAAGGTAGAAAAACGAAACTGGGAAACCTCTTCCTTTGCTGGAGCCGAATGCATCTGAGTGCTGGTGATGAAGCAGAGAAAGGAAGGCCCTGTTGGGGCGCATCTTCACCGGTCCTCAGAGGTCACTGTGGGTTTCCTATGCTAGCAGTTGGGGATTTAGCTCAGTGGTAAAGCACTTGGCCTAGCAAGCAGCAGGCCCTGGGTTCAATCCCAAACATATGGGGAAGTATGGGGGGGTGACGTTCCAGATTACTGCTTGTAAGTCCCCATTCTCTAGTCTGTGCTGATGGAATAAAATTATAGGAAAGAAGTTCAGAATGGAGCCATAGGCCCATGGAGCTGTGATGACAACCAACAGATCCTAGGGCTGGTACAACCAGACCTCAGGCAATTTGCGTCTCCTGCAGGTAGACTGGGTGCTTCAAGGTTGAGTGGGTCATGTGACTGCTGGCTGTCAGGCTGCCAATGCAGGCCTCATAACCAGGTGACAGACAAGCTGTGTGGACCAGAAACCCTTGCTGAGAGAGAAGACAAGTGTGGTGTCCTTATCCTCATGTCCATTTTAAGCAGTCTTTTTTCTTAATGTCGCCTCTGACCCCCTACAGAGAAGTTGTCCCTAGCCAGTCACACACCTTCTCCATCTAGTGTGTGCACAAATTGAGCTAGGGTGAGTGATGAGCAGGGTGACAAAGAAGATAGGATTTGTGGTCCTTTCCTACCTGACTGGTGGCCTTTGTCCTGTCTCTGAGCTGCCATGGTTTCCGTCTGTTCTCAAGTCTCCTTTGGTATACAGTCAAATCCGTGGGTTCCCTGTGGCATTTCAATCAATCCTCTTGAAGAAGCTAGAATGGATTCTGTTGAAGCCCAAAGCTGGAATCAGTGACTTTCAGGAAGAGTGGAGGGACAGTTGAAGTGTGAAAGCAGGAGTCCTCAAGGCTTGGAGATTCCCGTCGAGGGAACAGGGTTAGTGTTCCCTCCACATGGAGAGGGGTCATTGGAAGGACAGGGAGGCTGGCTTGAAACTGGATTTCCACATAACTATGGATAACTGGAAGTCAACTTTAGACTCTGTTGGGTTTGTCCTCCTTTTATATTTTGTCTTTAAAGAATTCTTTAGGGAAAACAAATGCCCCTTGGCAATTTTAGATAATCTTAGCGTAGAATAAAAGGATCGATAGAGAGGTGGGTGTCAAGAAGTAGCTTTAGGAGAATGGTGAGTTGGGGCAGTTCTGACTGGGCCCTGGGCTGGCTAGCTGGGAGTCTGATTCTCCACACACCAGACAGGATTTTAGGAGGCTTCCTCTTCGTGGAACAGGGAGGGGCCAGGGCAGAGAGGAAATGGCATGTGAGGTGATTCTGAGAGGCTGTGTGTTGTAGTGTGTGAGGTCCAGGGAATAGCCAAAGGGTAGGGGTGCCATTGTGACTCCATGCGGTGGAGGTGACTTCTGTGAATTGTGCATAAAATGGAGGAAGGAAAGGGAGAGGGGAGGTCAGTGTCAACCAGGCAGACAGACAAAGCGGCGGTTCTCAGCCTGTGGTCCCACTCCTTTAGGGGTCGAAGGACAATTGGAAAGCACAGATATATTTACACTGCCATTCGGAAAAGCAAAATTACAGTTATGAAGTAGCAACAAAATAATTTTATGGTGGGGGGAAGTCGCCACAACATGAGGAACTGTATTAAAAGGTCAGAGCATTAGGAAGGGTGAGAACCACCAAAACAAACAACACTCCTGGGAGAGTAGAACGTGAGTTATATAACCCGAGTCTGGGGAGGAAGATCATGGAGTTTTGGGTACAGTTTCAGAGACGGTAGCTGCTACCATTCAGTTGGCTGTGACAGACTTTTGTGGCCGTGTTACACAGAGATAAATAGGAAGTGTTGTGGAAGAAACTGTGTCATGCCTGGGACTGGCTGTGAAATACTCCATGCAAGCTCGAAGATGGTAAGGAGAAATGACATAAGCCAAACCACACACACACACACATACACACACTCACACACACACACACACACACACACCCCACCACCACCACACACCAGACACACACAGATATACCACACACATGTGCACAGCACATAAGAGACACAAACAGGCACCACACACAGAGATGTACCATACACACACATATACACAACAAAGAGAGACACACATACCCAGACACACCACACACACACACACCAGAGAGAGACACATACACATATGCACCACACACATATATATACACAGCACATAAGAGACAAAGACACCATACACACACATATACAGAACAAAGAGAGACAGAGACAACACACACACACACACACACACACACACACACACACACACAGAGGGCACAGTTCATAGAAAGCCCCATTAGCTAAAGCCAAGCTCCTCACCCCAGACTTAACTCCCATTCTCCCCGTTGATCTTCCCTGAATGTCCCTCCATACCTCCTGCCGACACTGCCTGCATTAGACCTTCTCACCTCCCACCTCCAGGGCTGCAGTGGCTCTTACTGTCCACTTGTCCCACCTCGAGGCCACCAGAGGGATCCAGCTGTCTCATTAAGGTCACAGCTGTGGACTAGATGATCAGATAACACGTGAGGTCATTTGCTGGCTGCCTCTGCTGAAGGCCCCTGGAAACCCAGGCTGTGCAAGGGTAAATCCCTTCCCTGCTGTACTAGCCAGCCAGCTGCTGAGGCTTCAGGTCAAGGAGCACCTTGAACATGCCTGATCTCATCTAAAACACCCCCGAGGGGCCGGAGAGATGGCTCATTGGTTAAGAGCGCACACGATTCCCAGAACCTATGTTGGGTGACTCATGACTTGTAACTCTGCTTTCCAATGCACCATTACTCATATGCATATACACTTAAGTAAAAGTAATGAAAGAAAGTCCTTATAAAAATAATGCTAATAATCAAATTATATTCATAATACAGTTTATTAGCACATCCCAGGATGCTATTTGGCGTCACATGCCATTTAGCAGTTGTAACAGGGCTGTATCTCTACTGTAGGAATCAATAAACTTTTCCTTGAAGACCTCAACAGGGAATGTTTAGGTTCTGCAGTCCGTAGGGTCTCTTGCAATGGTGTAAACTGACAGTGAACTTAGCCATCACAATGAGAAAATGGCCTGAGACCTACGTAAACGAGAATGTGGTCCAGACAAACATCATTTATGAAGACAGATGTTTGAATTTTAGCATAATTTTCTCATGCTGTGAAATGGTAAGAATCGTCTAGGTGTGGCGGGTGGGATGCTGCTGTGAGCCAGGCACCCAGTGGCCAAACCAGGAGGATCATGGGCTGGCCTGGGCTGCAGAGTAAGTTCAAGGCTAGCCTGGGCTCATAGTGAAATCCTGTCTCTGCTTGATGAAGTAATTTCAAAAAGGAAAAGCCATTCTTTTAGTACACAGGCCTTTCAAAAAGAGGGGCAACCTGAATCTGGCCTACAGAGCCTGATCCCTCAGTAGCACCCCAGCCTCACAGTATGCCCGCCCCATGGAACCCTGGCCCCTCAGTAGCCATGTAGGAGAGCGGGCTATGGTGGTGTTCTGGACTGCATTCTCCATGTAGTCAGCCTTGGGTGGCCCATGTGACTGAGAAACTGAAGGTTTAATGTTACTTCATTTTAGTTTAAATTTGAACATCCCCGTGGCCAGCATCTACCATGTTGGGCAGCACTCATCATGGAAGTATTGTGCTGCAAGACACATGGGCAGAAATGCTTCCTGCCTCAGGTTCACAGGCAGCAAAAGGCCTGAGACTATGCTGTGTGCGGAGTGTGTGGGGTGGAGAGTGGCTTTAGTAACCGCCAAGTTGGCTGGGTAAGCAAGGCTTAGGCCAAGTAAGGTTTTAAGCGCTTACACGTTTCAGCTCACTAGATTCTTACTGTCAGTCAGAAAAAAGCGGATAACCCACAGTCTTATACATCAGTGGGGACATCTGAGCTTTTAGGTCACGAGGTTGTGTGAAATCCAAGGCACAAAAACTGCATTCCATGTTAACGCTATGTTTCAAACCTTAAAGACAAGTAGTATTTTTTCCCCAGGGGAAATATATGGTAAAACCACTCAAAAGAAGGGGAATTTCTGGAATGCTGCAGTCCCAGAAGTCCCATCTTCTCTGTGGTGGGCACGGGGTGGCCAGCTGGTTTGGTGCTGACTGGGTGACATCTGGTCAGCATAGCGGTCATCACTGCATGGTTGTGACCCAGCATCTGTTCCCTTCAGAGGCACTTCTGTCTGGTGCTCTGGTCGCGTACTTTAGACACGGTTTACCAGGGGGAGCAAAGCTTTAAACCCTTTAGCTCCAGATTTTTGTTTTCAGTAAATCTGATGATGAGTTGAATGTCTCTAGAATCTTATTTGGAGAACTTGGTTTAAAAATAAGAATACAGGTCAGACATGGTGTCGAACACCTTTAATCCTGGTACTCAGGAGGCAGAGGCAGGTGAATCTCTGTGAGTCCAGGCCAGCTTGGGCTACAGAGAGAGACAAATGAGAACACTCAGATATACTTACTGTCATCAAAGGAAAAGTCCTATTGACACCTGGGGTATTGGGAAACCTTGACCGAGTTCCGCCAATATTTCACCCGAGTGAGTTCAAGTGCAGTTATGTAATACCTTCTGGTAAGTAGGGTTCACAGAGGCTATGGGTGTAAGGATGGGTTTCCCCTCGGTGACAGTTTGGCAGCAATCTCCTGAGTGTGTGCTAGTGATGTGTTGAGCTTTTCTGAGTAATGTGTTGCAGCTTTGACGATTTCCTTGTTCCGTCTTCAGTCTTTTCCTGAATTACTGACATGGGTTTATCTTTTCTCCCTTTAGAGAGTTTTGAGGTGACAGTCACCAAAGAAGGTGATGAAGGGTTCTTTGTCTCCCTCTCATGAATATTAACCCACTAACTTGTTTATAAAATTGGGAATCAGCCATTAAACAGAAGCAACTGCCATGCCGTTTCCCCTTCCATTTATTCCCCTAGTTTTGTTTTATTTTTTAAGTGTATTTATGGAAATTGTATGTAATCAGACCCTTGGTTAGAAATATCTAGAACTCAGACATCCATTTGAACTACACTGACAGGATCACCTGTTTTTGTTGACCAGCTTGTGTGGTACCATTTTTCTATTCATTGGACTTGTGGAAGTGTGCAGTCTTATTTTTATGTGTAAAAAATTTGTAGCTTCATATGTTCATCAAAACATTAAACTTGTTCTCCCACGGGCAAGCATGGAACCATGGATCTTTCTCATTAGGACATTTTAGCTATAGCTGAAGTTCCTGGCTGGTAGGTATCCCTCCTAGTTTGGTGCAGCCTGGAACTCAGGAACCCTGGCAAACCCCTCCTGGTAGCAGACAGTGGATGTCAGCTGTTGAAATGGATGCCTGAAAACTTGGTATTTCTACCACTCTTCTTTAGCAGTTTGTTTGATTCCCTAATTTTAGCCAGGCTCATTGCACAGGAAGACTTGATTTTTTTTTTCCTTGACAGAATTTCTGTAATTAAGATGCTGCTCTCACATGTCACACTTCTTCTCTCAACGCTTAACTGTGCATTTTATCCTCTCTCTGGTCCAAACCCAAAGAGCTGCCGAGCGCTCGGGTGGCCTGGGAGCCTGGCGTGCTCAGGCTGTGGCTGTTGCTTATGAGATTCCTTTACCCTCGAGCCATCCAAGTGCTCCTGTGGAATGCCTGTCTGTTCTCTCGTATCCCTGCATGAATGGATGCAAAGTAAACCAGTTGCTTGGAAAGCCAGAATCCGCTTCTACTAAAGCCCCAGAACTCACCGTGTTAAAGCACAATGCCCCCGCTTTGTCCACGGACCCTCCACCCCCTCTGGCTGCTAAATTGTTGTCTTATTTTCTTTGGGGGGGAGGGCAACGTGCAGAAGGTTCAGGCGGCAGACACACTAACCTGTTCTGCTTTCCTCCCCAGGTGAGATTTGTGGCTTTAAGATTCACGGGCAGAATGTCCCCTTTGATGCTGTGGTGGTGGATAAGTCCACGGGGGAGGGAATAATCCGCTCAAAAGAGAAGCTGGACTGTGAGCTGCAGAAAGACTACACGTTCACCATCCAGGCCTATGACTGCGGGAAGGGACCAGATGGCACTGGGGTGAAGAAATCTCACAAGTAAGTGGACTGGAAGAGAGCAGAGAACCGCCCAGGAGGTGAGCGTACATGGGAAGTGACACTCAGGTCCCCAGGTGCTCCGTGTTTCCAAGTGGAGGCAGAAGCATTCTGCAGGGTCACAGCTGGGTTGTGAGGGTCTTTGAGGGTGGGACTCCAGCCTGAGTATCCTCTTTTGTGTCTAGTTTCTAGGAAGGGTCTGATGGGTAACAGGTTTTCAGAAAGGAAGGAACGGTTTTATCCCACCGAGTATTCTTGGTAAAGTAAAGCCCACTGGAACAGTGGCCCATGCTGGTTACTGAGGCCCTTTGAAGGCTGCGGTGGGAAGAACACAAAGTCAAGGACAGCCTGGGTAACATAGCAAGACCCTGTCTCTGGAGGAGGGGGTTAGGGCAGGGACACAGACAGACAGACAGACAGACAGACAGACAGACAGACAGACAGACACACACACACACACACACACACACACACACACACACAGCCTTATATTGAACTTTTTCCTGAGGAAAATGATTTTCTTATTTTTGTTTGTTTATTTTGAGACAGGGTTTCACTGTGTAGCTCTGGCTTTCCTGGAACTCACTCTGTAGACCAGGCTGGCCTCGAACTCACAGTGATCGCCCTGCATGCTAGGATTACAGGGGTGCACCACTACTGCCCAGCTGGTTTTGTTATTCCTAGCTTTTCCTGTAAACTCTAATATAAGCTAGGCAACGTGTAGAAGAAGCTGACAAGCCTCCATGACCCTGTACTGAGTCCGCATGCCTTCTGCCAGCTGAGAGTTTTACTCTAACAGGGTGCTGGAAGATAGAGACTTAGAACTCTCGACTTTTCTCGTTAGCTCTTCTACACCAGGCAGATTTGATGTTGCTCAGCCTCAGTCCCTCAGTACAGTGCTGAGGACATGGTAAGGACACCACACGCATGAGCCTGGATCGGGACGCTCTGCGAAGAGCAGGGTGTGATGGGCTAGTGAACAGCTTCTCATTTTTCACACAGTGTGGCACAGCTTTATTCATTTGAAGAGACTGTGTCTGCAGTGCACTACGGATGAAGTCTGGGCCTGTGCATGTTAGACAAATACTTTGCTGCAGGCCTAGAATACCAAAAGTTTGTGTTTTGACAAAAAACCTGATCAGTAGGTAGCCCCTGAAGTCATTATTTGGAGGCTGGATCAGTGGTACCCAGTTACAGACTTGTACATTGGCAGCCAGGGATGTCTTTCCTAAGCACCTTCATTTGTGGAACCAGGACTGGATGGTGTCCTCGTAGTGATCTCTCCCCTGCTCCATAAGAGTAGGGCAGAATTTGTGTGTGTGTGTGTGTGTGTGTGTGTGTGTGTGTGTGTGTGTGTTCACACATATGGGAACACATGTCTGCATATGTGCAGATGTACTGGGTTGTGTTCCTCAATTGCTTTCCACTTCATGTACAGAGGCAGGTCTCTCCCTGCACCTGAACCTCACCAGTTCAGTGAGTCTGGCTAGCCAGCTTGCCCTGAGGTCCTGTTTCAGCCTCTGAGCTCTGAGATTACAGAGGAGCCACCATCCGGCCTCACCTTCCTGTGGGTGCTGGGGCTCAGACCTCCACCCTCAGACCTGTGCAGCAAGTGCTCCATCCACTGAGAATTTGTTTTAATTTATATAATGTGACCTTTCCTCTATTTCTAACCCTTGACTTTATGAACTGAGAGTAAGTTTGTTCCCTTCATCTCCTGCCCCCACTTTGAAGGAAAATACAGCCTCTTTGGTTACGTCACTGAGTTTCTAAGTCTGTTGCCTTAATTTTAAGGCCCAGAGAAATCAGCCCAAGTCCTGGTTTTAACTTCCCGTGACTCTGTGCCAAACTAAAAGGAATGCAGTTGATTTATATTTTGGCTTCATTGTAGAAAGCTCTGAAACAGTATCAAGAAAAGGAAACTTAGAATCAGCAGAACGGTTGTTTCTGGGTAAAAGAAAGAACAAACCCCCACAATAGCTTTCATCTTCTCGTCTAGAGCAACCGTTCACATCCAGGTCAATGACGTGAATGAGTACGCGCCTGTGTTCAAGGAGAAGTCCTACAAGGCGGCCGTGGTGGAAGGGAAGCAACATGGCAGCATCCTTAGGGTGGAGGCCGTGGACGCAGACTGCTCCCCGCAGTTCAGCCAGATCTGCAGCTATGAGATTCTCACCCCGGATGTGCCATTCACTGTGGACAAAGACGGTAAGAACGGAGGCGCCTGGGCCTCAGTGAGGGTGGGTGGCCTTTGAGGCCTGGTCCTTCTGATGAGATCAGCTGGTCACCTGGGCTTCCCAGTGCTTGAAGAGCATCGGTGAACCGCAGGCTGCCTGGAGCCCTGCCTAGCGCCTGTGAGTCGTATTTGACTTAACTCCCTGCTCTGACAACGTCTCTGGAAGCCTGTGCTCTTTGGGGCTCTCTTTCTCCTTTCTTCCCATGTCAAGCAAAGGCCTCATTGACAGGAACCGTCTCATTTTCATCCATGTGCAGGGGAGTGTGCTGTCCCTTTTGTTAGACTTATTTTTTTGTTCTCCATTTGATTTGAACCTTTTACCCAGCCTAACCTTAGTTGTTTGTTGGAGGGAAGATAGAATTTCTTGCAGCCCTGCTAGCTTTGAACTTGGCATTTAGGCCAGGATGACCCAGAACTTTTAATCTTCCTGCCTCTACCTCCCAAGGGTTGGGATGACAGATGTGTGCACCACTCTTGGTGTACAGAGTGCTGGGGTCAAAACCAATCCTTTCATTCTGCCCTGGGATTTGTATCCCCAGCCCTCAACTTTTTCTTCTTTAACAAAATTAATCTTCCAGCAGAAGTATTTAATGAAGCTTGGTCTCATTGTTAGTATTTAAAGTATTTAAACTATTTGTCTTTTTTTATTATTACATGCAAATTAGTAAATGTTACTAGAAAATCAGAACAGGCGAGGTGGCTTGGGTAAAAAGCATTTGCCACATAAACCCGATGACCCGACTTCAGTCCCAAAACCATGGTGCAAGAGAGAACTAACTTCTGAAAGATCTCCTTTGACCTGTGTACTCACACACACCCGAGTAAAAAAGTTTTTAAAAAGCTGGGTATGGTGGCGAACACCCTTAATCCCAGCACTGGGAAGGCTGAGGTAGATAGAGCTCTGTGAGTTCCAGGCCAGCCTGGCCTATGTGTGAGTTCCAGGACAGCCAATGTCTCAAAAAAGAAAAGAAAAGAAAAGAAACGTTTAATGTTTAAAAAGTGTTTTTAAGACCAGTGTAGAAATTACAGGAATAAGTGGAGGACTGGCTGTGTGGAGCATGGTGAGTTCTCCGGTTAGAGGACAGAGGAGCATTGTGATCTCAGGACTGAGTTTATTTCAGGTTGTGGCAATCTCGCACAGCACAAGTAACCTGGTTCTCCTTGTGGTTTTGCCGCTCTGCCAGGTTATATTAAAAACACAGAGAAGCTGAACTATGACAAAGAGCATCAATACAAACTCACGGTCACGGCCTATGACTGTGGGAAGAAGAGAGCCACGGAAGATGCCCTGGTGAAGATCAGCATTAAGCCAGCTTGCAGCCCTGGGTGGCAAGGTGAGCTGCAGCCTCTCTCCTCCTACGGCCATTCTGAAAACGCAAATGCATGTGCCGTAAAAACCTAAGTGTGAGCTTTCTTTTTTTTTAATCCCATACCCATCCATGGGCCAACACAGGCTGGAGCAACAGGATTGAATATGAACCCGGCACGGGTGCTTTGGCTGTCTTCCCAAGCATCCATTTGGAGACCTGTGACGAGCCTGTCACCTCAGTGCAGGCCACAGTGGAGCTGGAGACCAGCCACATCGGGAAAGGCTGCGACCGAGACACCTACTCTGAGAAGTCCCTTCACCGGCTCTGTGGTAAGGAGGTCTGGTGTCTGGATCCCTTAGTCTTCAGGGAAGTCAGGAGCCTGTAAGACCCTGTGTCTTGCTCTGTAAAAGGATAAGCAGAACAGATGCGACGTTCTGGGGTGGCCTTTGCTGCCTTGCTGGGTGCTTTTCATTCAGGATGGACACCAAGGAGTACACAAACCTGCAGCATCTCCTCACAGGGCTGTATGTGCGTGCCCTGAAGAGCCCACAATGTGAAGAGCCATCTAAGTACAGATGATGTAAGAGACAGGAGCCGGGCTACTCAGAAAGTTGAGGCAGGGGATCATTTAAACCCCGGAGTTCTGGTCTAGCCTGGGCAACACAGGGCATACTGTCTCAAAGGCACACATGCTTTTCCTAATGCATGAGGCGCTGAGTTCAATCCCCAGCACCAGGAAGAAAGAACAAAAAAACAAACAAACAAACAAAAAAATCCAGGCAGCTGTAAAATCTTAAATTGTACTTATTTTTTTATTTATCTATTTATATGTGTGGGTGCATGTGTGCCACAGGGCTCTGTGGAAGTCAGAGGTAGGCGATGTGGTCTTCACTTTTCTCCTTCCCATGTACAGGTTATGGGGCTCGAACTCAGGTTTGGCGTCAGGTGCCTTCCCCAATGCTGAGCCATCTCTCTGCCTCCCTCTCCCTGCTCTTTGACTCAGTGATCCCGATTGTAGATGTTTGTCCTAAGATCAGAGTGGTTGCACAGGTAGCTGCTCCTGAAGGGGAGGGTGTAACTGGGAGGAATTTGGGACCCTGCCCACCAGAGGAAGGATTGAGGCAGTTACATTGTATCTGTGCCGTGGAATGCAATACAGCCACTCTAAGTTACCTACTGAAGGAAGGAGACTATGTATATATACACACTGCAGACACAGTAGGGCTCTAGTTAATTAAATACTTTGTGGTTAAGTATTTAACGCTGTGGTTAAGAGCACTGGCTGTCCCAGATTCAGTTCCCAGCACCCACACGGCAGCGCATAAGTGTTTGTAATGCCAGTTCCAGGAGGTTTGATGCTTCTTCTGACCTCCTTGGCCTAAAGCATGCAGGTAGCGCACAGACAGGCATGCAAACAGACGGCTCAGTGGGTAAAACACTTGATGTGCAAGTGTGAGGACCAGGGTTCAAACCCCCAGAACCCACTAAATGCCAAATGGGTGTAGTGGCCCACCTGCAATTCTGGCTTAGTAGGAGACAGGTGATCACTGAGACTAGTCATATTGGTAGTTCTGGGTTTGATGGAGAGACCCTGCCTCATTGCATAAGGTAGAGGTAATTGAGGATGATTCCTCCACATGGGTGTGCACCAATACACACGTTTGCCCAGACACATGCACACATTGTATGAACACATATGCACATACCACTAACATGAAAATGAAGAAAAAACCTTTTTCATTAAAAAAGAAGCAGAAATGCTTGTATATAAAAATGGCGTATATTTGGATGGGAGTATAAAAAGTTACTTTGTTGTTGTTGCTTGTTTCTTTTGAGACAGGGTCTCACTACATAGCTCTGGCTAGCCTGGAACTCACTATGTAGAACAGGCTAACTTGGAACTCACAGAGATCTAGTTACTTTGTTGTTGTTGCTTGTTTCTTTTGAGACAGGGTCTCACTACATAGCTCTGGATAGCCTGGAACTCACTATGTAGAACAGGCTGACTTGGAACTCACAGAGATCCGCCTCTGACTCTGTGAGGGCTGGGATTTTATCTTCTTCCTCCCTTCTCCTTATAACAAAAACCCACAGTTTGTGTTTGTGTGTATGTATGTCATTGTTATTGTTTTTGTCTTATTCTGTAGCCAAAAACCTACTTATAACCCAGGCGGGCTTTGAATTTGGCAATCCTCCTGCCTCGACTTCCCAAGTGCTGGGATTACCAATGTGTGTATTGCATTTTTGTTAAGAAAAAAAAATCTATTATTTTTTCAAGGAAAACAAAATCAAACCATTGAACATTCTAACCCTAAGTTGAGAGCCACCCTTTAGCGTGGCCCTGAACCACTCCCAAGTTTGCTGTTCTTTCTCCCTGAAGTCACCTCATGTCCCTGTGGTTTCAGGGGCTGCTGCCGGCACCTCAGAGCTGCTGCCTTCCCCAAGTGGTTCCTTAAACTGGACTGTTGGACTCCCCACTGACAACGGTCATGACAGCGACCAGGTCTTTGAGTTCAATGGCACTCAGGCCGTGAGGATCCCAGACGGTGTTGTGTCCCTTGACCCCAAAGAGCCCTTTACAATTTCTGTGTGGATGCGGCATGGGCCTTTTGGCCGCAAGAAGGAGACGATTCTCTGCAGTTCAGACAAAACAGGTTGGTTGTGTCCCTGGACCAGCTGGTGTTCCTCAGTGTCCCCTCACAGGGACTAGTCCCTCCACAGATATCGCTTCCTATTTTTTTGCTGGGGACACTTTGTCCTCAGAGAGACAGCTCCAGCCTGGGGGATTTATTAGTTTTCCTCCGTTGAGTTATCGAGAGTTCTCAGTAAAACTTCTGGGTTTTGTTCCTAAACCTTGTCTTGGCACAACTAGAAGGTTCATTTATGCAGATATAATTATGTCTTTAAATCCATTAAGGAAACAGTCCTTACTTCCTCTGGGGTCTGAGGCTGGCAATTTACCATAGACGCTGTCTTTTCAGAAATGAACCGGCACCATTATTCACTCTATGTCCATGGGTGCAGACTCGTCTTCCTCCTCCGCCAGGACCCGTCTGAGGAGAAGAAATACAGACCGGCAGAGTTCCACTGGAAGTTGAACCAGGCAAGTAAATAGAAGCCTTACCAGGTGTCATTTCCCAGCATGTGACAACCTGTGGACATCATGGTTTGTGCATCTGTGGGTTACAGGATAACAATTCTTGAGCCAGGGTCTCTGTAGCCCTGGCTGTATAGTCCTATCTGAACTTGCTATGTAGACCAGTCTAGCCCCAATTCAGAGATCCCTCCTTTTGCTTAAAGGTGAACAACAGCCCACCTTCTCCTCCTCCTCCATCCCCCGGGACGCATGAAGTCCAGGTTGGCTTCCATCTCACTGTGAAGCCAAGGGTGATCTTGAACTCCTGATTTTCCTGCTTTTCCTCCCCAGTGGGCTTTGAGCAGGGCCACTGTGTGGTTCTTTGTGGTTCTGGGGATTGCTCCCAGGGCCACTCCCCCAGCCTGCATGTTCCTGTTTGGATGAGCACTTGACAGAGGACAGGACATTCACTGTCAAATGCCTTTCCCGAGACTGACAGTAATGATTATTTCAGAAATGAATGACTGGTACTTGGGAGCAGAGGCAGGTGTCACTGAGTCCCAGTGTAGTTCCAGGACAGTCAGGGCTACATAGTGAAACCCTGCCTCAGAAAAGGGCGCGTGTGTGTGTGTGTGGGGGGGGGTTGGGGGGAATAGCGAGCTGACAGCCTAACCCAGTTTTTAGGAGATGTCTGGCCAGCCTGCTACTAGAGACTTGCGGATGCCTTGCCAATGGTGGAGAATTGTGCAGCCCTTTGTTCTCAGTCCCTGGCCTGTGGTGATGGTGCTGGTTTGAGGTGTCCTATCGATGATGAAATTGACCTACCCCTTTCTGGTCGGACGTGTTTGCAAAATACTTTCTTGTTAGATGTTCAAAAATCCTTTTCTTTTTAGGAAGTCATTCTTTATGCATGGCTTACTTCCCATGTCCCAGTGCTGCTCAGGGTTGTGCCTTTGACTGAGCAGCTGGGTGACGTGTCACGCTTCCTTTGCCTTGGCTAGGTCTGCGATGAGGACTGGCACCACTTCGTCCTGAATGTGGAATTCCCAAGTGTGACACTCTATGTGGATGGCGTTTCCCATGAGCCATTCTCTGTGACAGAGGACTACCCTCTTCATCCGACTGGGATAGAGACTCAGCTTGTGGTCGGAGCTTGCTGGCAAGGTAACAGTCGCTGGTCTCCCGTCCCCTGGCCTCGGGAACTAGCACACACCTCCTTGCTGTATTGTTGCTGTGTTGGGAATCAGACCCTCAGTAGTGCTCTTCTTTCCCACGTGTCCCTGTTCTGTGTGTAGCCTTTTAGAGGACACGGTCGATGCCATCAATGGTTGTTATGGACAACAGCCCACCATCAACTTTCCTGAACATGAGAATAGTGACACACTGAGGGAAAATATGATTAGGAAACTAGCATATAAATCATCGGTTTATTCATTATTAATGTCTGTAAAGCCAGAGGCGAGAGTGAACCAAGATACGGAAACTTAAAGGACACAGAAGTGTCTGGCCGCTTCCACAGTACTCAGACCTTGACAGCTTGGCAGGAACCTGGTGAGTGAGGGACATTTGGAGAGACCAGGCTGAAAAACCACTGCCTTAAACAATATATTAGTTATCTGTGGGACCTTAGGTAGCCAGTTAAATTGAATTAGTGAATAGTGGCTAGTGTACTGAAGGGTTGGCCCTGTGAACTTGTGCATTGATACCCACAATGCCTCGTTAATGGGTAAGACACAGCTTTAAGGTCAGGGCTAGAAAAGACTGTAATTTGAAAATGGTGAAGAAGCCAGGCGTTGGTGGCACACGCCTTTAATCCCAGCAGTTGGGAGGCAGAGACAGGCGGATCTCTGAGTTAGACAACAGCCTGGTCTACAAGAGCTAGTTCCAGGACAGCCTCCAAAGCCACAGAGAAACCCTGTCTCAAAAAACAAACAAAACAAAACAAAAGTGGTGAAAGGCTTTGGGACAGTACGAGGGTCTCTACTTTGCTGTGCAGTAATGAAAAAACACCATGATTCTGCTGGCAGGGTCACAGTTACCGCCCACTGTGGTGTGGTTTAGAGCTTATAGTTATAGCCAAAGGAAATAAGTTAGTGGAAATAAACATTAACCGTTCTTGTCCAAGTTCAGTCTGCCTCGAGGGTCATGTCCCCTCCTTTGACCCTTGGACCCCACAGTATTATTTCAAGACATGGCATCATCACTGTGTGCTAGATGACCAGACTTTATATACATTTTTCTCCCCATGAGAAGACAGTACCTTGACTTCAGTTAGAAAAGTATAAGTGAGTCTAATTCCCAAGATAGACTCGTTTATTTTAGGAGAATTTGAATTTCATAGTTTCTAAATTCCTTCAGGTACAAAGGAATAAGCTAGCTCACTGAGGTGACCCTCTTTAGCAGGTCCCCAGGGTTACTGTTGGTTTGCACAACTGCCTGTGAGAAAATGGGATGTGAAGCCAAAGACTGGGTTTCGAGGCACCTGGCAGTTTCGTTGTTTTGGTTAAGTAGGCCACCCTGCACAGTCCTGCTTTCTCTGGTCTCAGAATCACTGCCATCAAATAGCAAATGGTTTTTCATCTTTTCTCTCTTTTGACCTCAGCTGTCTCAGCTCTTCCAGCCCGACAGCAATTTCCACACCAAACCAACCCAAATTCCTTCTTGTTTTTTCCCGATTGTTAACATTTTATGTGCATGAATGTTTTGGCCTGTTTGTGCACCAGGTACATGCCTGTGCCCATGGAAGCCAGAAGAGGTCTGATGGCCTGGAATCAGTGTCATGATGGTCATGAGCCACCACAGGGTACTGGGAATTGACCCCTGGGAGAACAGCCAGTGCTCTTAACCACTGAACCTACTCTCTCAACACAAGTTGTGTAAGATTCAGTTCACACGGAGGAAGGGGCTCTTTGCCTTTCAGTGCACATGGAAGCCCTCTCCCTGCTAACTCACAGTTGGGAGGGGCGTGGGCAGCAGCTGTGTCTCTGTGGGCAGCAGTATCAGCTCTCACTATATTCTGGAGAGGTCATAGTGGGTGGGTGTGGAGGTGCAAAATGGCTTCACCCCAAGACACACTCCACACTTGTGGCACCGGAGATACCCCAGCAGACTGGAGTGGCAGGTTGCCAGGGGCGGCATTTCCTCCACCATGCGGTGGGTGGGTCTGCACGCAGCCATGGGTGTGTGTGCCCACCAGCAGGGCTTCAGATTGTGGGCCCTGACCTGCAGCTGTAGACTGTGGCTGGTGAGCGCCCAGCCTGCTGTGGGGTCATCTGGGTGAGAACCTTAGCCACCCTCCCTCTTAATGTCCGCTGTTCTCTGTCAGACACACATGTTTTCATATGCCACACTCTGGACTCTGGTACGGGCCCTCCTGTTTTGTCTGTTTGGAGAGAAGAGGCTAGTGGTCCAGGAGCTGAATGTTTACTTATGTCTGCTCCAGCACCACTCCTGGCCAGACCTCCCGGGAATGCACTGCAGCATCAGCCAAGCAGATAATGAATTTGGTGTGCCCGCATTTGTCTTAATTTGAATCTGATTTGTGTCCCAGCAAGCAGAATGGGTGATGGTGTATAAAAGAAAAACCCTCAGATGAAGCATTGGCGGGGGTCGCTTCTGGGCAAAGGTCACCAAGTGTAATCCAGGTGAAACACGTCCCAGAGGGACTTTGTTCTCTGGGGCTCCTGTTTGGCTGCTTCGTCACCTGATTGTTGAGGTCCAGTGTGAAGCCCTAACCTCGCCATCTTGTCTGCTGTCTGTCTTGCTTTCCAGAGTATTCAGGAGTCGAAAGTGGCAATGAGACTGAGCCTGTGACTGTGGCCTCTGCAGGTTGCTGGATGTCCCCCACTCCTGTTCACTATAGTGTTTCCTTTAAAGATAACACATTGATTCATTCCACATGTCGCATGAGATGAGCAAATTGCATTTTGGTCCTGGACACTGTTTCAGCTGCTTGCCTGCATCGAGCTTCCCCATTGCCTCCCGGGACTTCCCTTCCTGCCCCTGTCAACCCTGCACACCCTCATGCGCTGCACTTGTGAGGATTTTAGTGCCTCCAGCTCCCCAAGTCCACTGCATGAGGCACCCGCTACAATTCCTCAAGCTGGGTTTGGGGGCCACTTCATTGGTGCTCATGTGGCTAAGCCATGGGACTGTCCTGACTGAGACTAAATTCTAAACAGAAATAGCAATCCTTAGGGATGACTTGCCCTGCCAGGGTCCTGTTCTTCATTAATGCAAAAGCCAGCTGTACTGTGGCTCTTTGCTGTGGTCTGTCAAGGTCCCTCCTCTGGAGTTTTGCTTTCTTCATTACATTGTCCCTGCCTGTCACCCCTTCCTGAGAGCAGAGGTGACTCCATGTGTAATGCGCTTCTGCCATGCGAGCGTGGAGATGAGAGTTCAGATCCCTAGCACCTACGTAAATGCCAAGTGAGTCTGGCAGGCACCCTCGTGTAGTTCTAGTGATCAGAAGGCAGACAGGGATGGCCTGAGCAAGCTACCTTGTTAGACTAGCTATACAGGCAAGCTCTGGGTTCACCACAAGGCCTGCCTCACGAGTAAGGTGGCAAGCAATGGAGGAAGCTTTCCAGCATCAACCTCAGGTCTACCCACACGCGTGCACACACGTGCCCAAACATATATGAACATGCATGTACACATTTATGCGCACACACAAATCTCCCTAGAAGGCCTTACAGGCTTTTATGTGGGGACTCTGAGCATCCCAGAGTTCATGCTTGTGATCTAGTCTCCCCCACCCCCTCCCCACTGGCCCCCACTCCTGTGTCCTCAGAGTTAGGGAAAGCATCCCACTGTGTGCTCAGCAGAGTAGGTGGTAGTGATTGAACAGGCTAGGGCTAAGGAGGCAGTGTCCCTGGGCACCTTGGTGATGGTCCTGGGTGAGTGGCCAGATGCATAAGAAGGGGTCCCTGAGCATCCAGGCTCTGGGTGAGGGAACCCACCCACCCCAACCTCCTCTCTTGAGACCATTTGCATGATCATAAACAATTTAATTTTTTCATTATGCTTCCATGTAGAGTGCAAGGCTAACAGGTTTGGTCTGAACTAACTTGCATGTCCATCCATCAAGCTGCCACCACTGGTAACACAGCCATGAGAGATAACCGGGAGCCTGGTAGCTACAAGCCTAACTTCTCACCTCCTCCTGTTCCTAAGGTGGTGACTTGCACATGACACAGTTTTTCCGTGGTAACCTGGCTGGCCTCACAATCCGTTCTGGGAAACTGGCAGATAAGAAAGTGATTGACTGTCTATACACCTGCAAGGAGGGGCTGGACCTGCAGGTCCCCGAGGATGGTGGCAGAGGTGTGCAGGTAAGGGCTCGTCTGACCTCACTCTTAGCCTGGTCTGCTAAGAGTGGGGATGCAGGGAAAGGCAGAAATGGGGTGAAGGGATTTTTTGGTCCTGTTATTCGAGACAGGGTTTCGAGATGTAGCCCTGGCTGTCCTGGCTCAGTAGACCAGGCTGGCTTTAGAGATCCATCTGCCTCTTGAGTGCTGGGATTAAAGGCGTGCGCCACCACCACCCTGGGGTGGGGTGAAAGGATTTTATTATGTAGAGAGTCTTCTTCATGGGGACTTAAGAGCTCAGCGACTCAGTCCGGGCTGACTACTCCACTGTCTCTCTCGGCTTCGGTTCTTCCCGGTTGGGACCTTGTTCCCAACTCCAGTATGATGATTTCAGATCCATGCAAGCTCCAGTCAGGCGGTGTTGACCTTGGAGGGAGATGATGTCGGAGAGCTCGATAAGGCCATGCAGCATGTTTCCTACCTGAACTCGAGGCAGTTCCCCACACCCGGCATCCGCAGGCTCAAAATCACCAGCACAGTCAAGTATGTCCTGATTGGTGGCAGTGACCCTTGGCACAAAGTGTGTGTACCCTTAGATTGGCCTTCCCCTCTAAGGGAAAGTGACTCATCCCTTGTTTGCAAAGCCTGAGTGAGGCTTTGGAAGTGCGTTCCTGGAGTGTCCCCTCAGTCTTACACAAACTGGCATGCACAGCTCTCAAAGCCTTCAGCCTTCTCCCCCCACCCTTCCTGCTTCTCTGATAGGTGTTTCAATGAGGCCGCTTGCATTGAGGTGCCGCCAGTTGAAGGCTACGTGATGGTTCTGCAGCCAGAAGAGCCCAAGATCAGCCTGAGTGGGGTCCACCACTTTGCCCGGGCTGCTTCTGAGTTTGAGAGCCCAGAGGGTGTTTCCCTCTTCCCTGAACTTCGAATCATCAGTACCATCACCAGAGAAGTGGAGCCTGAGGGGGACGGGTCAGAGGACCCCACAGGTAACAGCCGTGCCTGGGCCTGCCAGCCCCATCATGGGCCCTTTTTCCATGAGGTTCTGGAGGTTTTGATGTTTCAGTACTTGAGTCTGTTTCTGCAACTTGGCTGTACATCTTTCTAGTTAGACATCAGGTTTTAAGATGCGGCTTGAGGGGCGGCCTGCAGGAGGACAGTATTCCCACCATTCTTACTGGGGACTCACTAGGTGCTGTTTATCGACTGGGCTGTTTCTGGGCCTGGGAGCTAGCCATATACTCCACCACCGAGTACACTCCCAGCCGCTGAGTCTGGACGGTGACTCCTTGCTGTAGTCTCAGCACTTAGACTCTTGACTGTGAGCCTGAGATATGGCTGGGGATTGGGGTTGACTGACGTTGCCCACCCCATAGCCTCTGCTATTTCTGCAGTTCAAGAGTCCCTGGTGTCAGAAGAAATTGTACATGACCTGGACACCTGCGAGGTCACAGTGGAAGGGGAGGAGCTGAACCCAGAGCAGGAGAGCCTGGAGGTGGATATGGCCCGCCTCCAGCAGAAGGGAATTGAAGCCAGCCACTCTGACCTGGGCGTGGTCTTTACAGGTGAGGGGCTGGGGCTGAGCAGGGGGTAAGGGAAGGGAAGGCTCTGCCTGCCTGCAGATGTGGAGTAGCATTCACTTTACACAGGTGCCCTTCCCCACGGGGGAGGGGGGGGAGACGGGGGACACGTGGGATGGGCCTCATGCAGGGTGGGCTAGGCACTTAACAGCACATGCCCCTGGATGGAGACATGCTCTGACTTGCTTCAGAAAGCCACCAACTTGTGGCCATTGGCTCAGCTGACCCAAGTGCATGACGTTAGCCACCTGGACCCACCTAAGCTCCACTTAGGCCACTCACCTTCAACACCCTACAGGTGTGGACACCATGGCCAGCTATGAGGAGGTTTTGCACCTCCTGCGATACCGTAATTGGCACACCAGGTCCCTGCTTGACCGGAAGTTCAAGCTCATTTGTTCAGAACTAAATGGTCGCTACCTCAGCAATGAATTCAAGGTGGAGGTGAGTCCAGGACCCCCAAGGTTTCAGACATTCATGGTGGCAACCCTACAGGCCCAGACCAGGGGTGGTTTTGTTCACACTGTGGTCAGCCCGCGCGGTAGACATGCAGGCTTGGAGAACAGTAGAGAGAGTGTGTACTCTTTAGGAGGGACATGGTTGTTCCTTGGGTTCTGTATGTGAAAGAAGCCGTGTTGGATCCCTGATTGTGGAGGGTGAAGTTGGGTCACCAGCTGGGTGGGTGCTAACACGGCCATGGTCACTCTGAGGTCACAGCAACTGGAGGACAGCTCACTCAGCTCTGAAAGCTCCAGCAGCCTCTGCTGCAGCCGACTTTACCAACCAGGACCTCTGTGGGCTGGAGAAACAGACTCAGCTGTCCCGAGCAGCCCACTGTCTCCACCATGACCTAAGCGGTGGGCCACGGCTCAGTTCAGAAGGCTGACAGGTGTCTCTCCTGTGGCCAGGCTGGGAAAGTGGTCTATGCCGAGCATTTCCCAAGTTATCTGGGTTTGTTTTCTTCGCTGATGTAAATGTGTTCTTTTATAAGCTTCACTATAAATAAACCATTAGACGAGCACCATGACACCAGTTGACAGGCTCTTACATTTGGTTTTTTCCGGTCACTGGGAGCAGCACGGCTTCGCCAGTGACTGACTCCATGTTTGCCTGTCAGGTACACTTGGGACGCCAGCCTTAGTGGTTTCTTTTCATCCACTGCAGGTGAATGTGATCCACACAGCCAACCCTGTGGAACACGCTAACCACATGGCTGCCCAGCCACAGTTCGTCCACCCTGAACATCGCTCCTTTGTTGACCTGTCTGGTCACAATCTGGCCAGTCCTCACCCTTTTGCCGGTAGGACTATTGGGAAGTACATGGGTCAAAATGCTGTGGGGTCCAGATGGGTGCCCCCACTAAACCTGGCTGTCAGCCCAGCTCACAGCCACTGCCTGTCAGCTAACCCCGTAGTGTCACACACAGACAAGCTCGTGAGCAAACCCGGCTGCTGCGGTGTTTCCTCCTAGTCTTTGAGGGGGTCAGGTGAAGCCCTCAGACATTCTGATCGTGAGTGGTTTAGGAGGCCAAGGGTGGGGTGGCTGTCCCGTAAGCAGTGTCACTAAAGGTGAGTCCGGTCTTCAAATCTCTTGGCAGTTGTCCCCAGCACAGCAACTGTTGTGATTGTGGTGTGTGTCAGCTTCCTGGTCTTCATGATCATCCTGGGGGTGTTTCGAATCCGAGCTGCACACCAGCGAACCATGCGGGACCAGGACACAGGGAAGGAGAATGAGATGGATTGGGACGACTCTGCCTTGACCATCACCGTAAACCCCATGGAGGTAGGTGCAGAGGGGCCCCCAGACGAGACCCGTGGAGCCATGGCCCCTTGTGCCCTGTACCTGTGTCATGTGCTCTGCGACATTAGGGGGTCATCTTCAATTGAGGAGACCCAGGCTCAGAGACCTTGCTGAAGGTCACACTGATGAGCATGAGTAGGCAGTTGGTGCTCTCTGCTCCTTTACCCCAAGATGATTCTGGTGTAACAGGATGAAGCTCCATCCCTCAGCACCGAGCGCCCCCTCCCTGTGCATGGATTCGGGTTGCTGGCGAGCACGTCACGTGAGGCAACTCCAGGGCTGCTCAGTTCCTCTGTCGCTGTAGAGTTAGTCGTTTCTACCTCTGTGGCTTCTAGAAGGTGGACATGAGGTGACGGGGCCACCCGCAAGACTGACACCATCTTCTCTTCCCCAGACATATGAGGACCAGCACAGCCCTGAGGAGGAGGAGGAGGAGGAGGAGGAGGAGGAGAGTGAAGATGGGGAGGAGGAGGAGGAGATTACTAGTGCCGAGTCAGAGAGCAGCGAGGAGGAGGAAGGTGGCCCTGGGGATGGTCAGAACGCAACCCGACAGCAGCAGCTCGAATGGGACGACTCCACGCTCAGCTACTAAACACACGCCTTGACACCTGCTCTGCAGAACTCTCTCCTAGCCATCTCCCAGCCCCACGGGTCCACGATGTACAAAATCATTTTGGCCAGCAGGTCTGCAGACCCCTCCCCCCATCGCTGAACATCGCCTGTGCTTGGTGTGGGACCATAGGCTCCGCCCCCTGCCCGCCCCGCCCATCACACGTGCAGTACACAGTACACTAGGAGCTGGCACTTCCTCCCTGGCCACATCTGGGTGCAGTGGCCCACATGTGGCTGTAGTCCCCCATCAGTCGGGAGAGGACACCTCCAGCTTCCAGAAGCTGCAGTGGACTTGCTGACAAAGGGTAAAAATTCACTCCCACCCGGTAATCATTTTTCTTTATTCTTAAAAGTTTTTATTTTTTTCCGAACTAGTGCATGTATAAAGTGGGAGAATGGGGGTTAATATGTAGATGACCAACTGACTTTTTAATATTTTGTAAATAAATTGGGATTCTGTGTCCTCTGTGCTAGTATAGTCCAGGACAGGAATGTAAAGTGGAGTTATCAACGCAGGCCCAGGAGAAACTCTCTCCTCTCTTCCACCTTTCTCACAAGAAACCAGGTTGGAGAGGTCCAAGCCACTGTGGCCCTTGCTGGGGTCTCTGTACAGCCATGTGGCCAGGGGCCACAGGCTTCCAGTGCTGCTTGGGAGACCAGACCTGAGCACCCTGACCACAGTGGAGGCTGGAAAGAGCCAGGTAGTTAGTTGCCACAGTCCCTGGCCTCTCATACACTCCTGTGACTGGAGGCACCTCGCTGTGCAGCCTTGTGGTTTCTGCTTATTAACTGTGTCTCCCTGTTGGTGAAAACGTTCAGCTCAGGGGAAATGACAGCAATTCTGCAAGACAGTCAGGTTCCTTGATTTGAAGACAGGCCTGAGCAAGTCTACACTACAGCATCCAAAAGGAGAGCCTGAGGCCCAAAGACAAAGTGCTAGAATGTTCCAAAACAGTCTGTTTTCTCTCCTCCCCAGAGGCCCCATGGGATGCCCCCTCACTGTCAGGGTGTGGGGTAAGACCCAAGCTCCAGGAGCTAGGAGTCTTGCTGCTTGGTGGCAAGGTAGGATACAGCAGTCTAAACCCACACAGCACTCAGCTTGTCACTACAATCACGGTTGAGACTTCTCCAGCGGGAAATCTCTGGCCCTCGCTGCTCGTCTTAAGGATGCTGACGGCGGTGCTGTCTGTGGCCACCCTCCCATGTCCTGTCCCTGTAGCTGTTCTATTAGATGGTGGAAAGAGACTAATGTGGAGAGGGACATTTTCATGTGCAGTGTCTGTCCCCTTTAAGATGTGTAGGTCAGGAAATGTATGCACTATAATAAAGTTCTGGTTCTAACTCTAGCCTGAGTGGGGTCTGTTCTGTCACTTTTGGTGTGTGTGGGGGGGTGATGGTTGAGACAAGGTCTGCTACATAGCCCTTGTAGGGCTGGCGTAAAGCAATCCTCCTGCCTGCCTGGTCAGTGCTGGGATTACAGGTGCCCACCACACCCATTCCAGGCAAGCACTGTTCCGAATTCCCAGCCAAGAATGTAAGAACATAAAAATGCTTTTATTTCTTTTCACATGTCTTTACCTGTCATGTCAAGGTCGCACAAATGTCTCAGCCCACATCAGTGAAAGGAAATCCACTTTCCCCACACAAACACAAAATGACTTAAAAAAATAGAAAATACTCTTACAGCCAGGTGCACAGACCACACACCTAACTCAAAGGCTGGGTGTGTACAGTCTGCAGCCATACCAGGAGCACCTAGAGTCGTTTCAATAAATAACTTGACACACACACAAACGCACACTCACACGCAAGGGCACATGCGAGCGTATACACACGCACGTGAGCGCGCGCGCTCACACACACACACGCACACACACACACACCCACACCCACACACACACACACGAGCTCATTTCCTATCAGAATTGCTGGGGCAGATGGAGGGTTTCAGCTATTATGGACTAAACAGGTACTTTGAAAAGATACAGTAAGCTGCTGGACCCTCAGCTCATCAGCATGGGGGAGCTGGCACCTGGACTGCTGGCAACACAGCAGTGGTGGTTCTGCAAGTCTCAGAATGCTCCCGGGAGGTCCAGGTCCTGAGGTGGCAGTCGGTACATCAGGATGTGCTTGGGATGGCACATTGTAAGCACATGACATGCCTGTCACTGAGCTGTGTCCCCAGGTCACTGAGCTTCTTCTAAAAGCCCAGGTGCCTGGCTCCATTGCCAACATGACTTTGGGAAGCCCGAGAAAGAGGGTCAGACCTGCATGTCTAGCCTCGTTCTGATCCATTCCTTTTCAAGGATAAAAGCCCTGACTATTTTGGGTTTCTCGAACACTCAATTCTTGCTCTCACTGCAGACCTGGCTCCCCAGATGCCTATCTGGGTGGGGGGGACAGCTCTACGAGAGATCAATCCTGCCCTTCCACAAAGCTGCCTCTGGGTGTGGCTCATACGCACTACACAGGGCTCCATTCTGACAGGGCTCTGTCTTGACTGGTGACCACACTGAGCTAAATCAGTCTCCAGTTTTTGAGTGTTTGAGGCCTGGCACGTAACAAGACATAGCGGGGGCTGGGTCCTTCTCCCCAGCTGTAGAGTTCTGTACATAGTTTGGCTATTATTTTCTTACCCGAAAATAAAAGGTGAGGCTGTCCCCATATCCAAGAGGTCACTTGAGCAGTGCAGAGCGAGTGTGCCTGAGTCTAGAGGGTGCTCTGGCTCCTGGTTTCCTCAGGAGCTGCTGGAGGCTTGGTTGGTAGAGGTTGCCTTGGTGGAGGTCGCCAAAGGTGGGCCACACAAAAGGTGGCGGAGGTGAGCAGAGGATTGAGCTGTCCTGTCTGGACGGGAGGCACCAGGTGACTGCCAGGCTTGCTCCAGGCAGCCTGCTGGGGAGCCTGGGGAGAAGGCCCCAAGAACAACTGTCTTTGCTGGGCCGAGATCCACAGGTTGGAAGACTAGGGGCGTAATCCTCAAGGCGCTGCTTACAGTGCTGACTGGGGTGGGGTGGGGGTGTCTCAAGAGGACAGTGCCCCTCCCTTCCACAAAGACAGTTCTGTTTATGGCTGTTTTGTCCCTTAAACATTGAGTCATAAATAAATAACCAGTGTAAACAAGAGGCAACTGTGTGGTTCTTCCCCGTGAGGAGCAGTTCAGGTGTCGGGGCCTCTTTGATGACCACTGAGCATGCCTGGTCCCCAGGACTGACCTCTAGGGCTGAGAGCCAGGAGGGAACCACTGTGTGGCAACCAGGAGAGGAGAGGGCCCCTTATTGCCTGTTATCCTTGGACACGTTGTGTGCCAGCCAGTTGACTTTGGTTTTCCAGCTCTCCCGTAGGGCTTCATTGAACTTCACCCGGAACTGTTTGAGCGCCTCCTCCTCTGTCTTCCCTAGCGCCAGAGAATCCTGGGCAAACATCACAGCAGAGTGACATTGAGGGGCCCTGCGCTCTCTGTACTGACCGACACCTCATGGGATGCTAAATTCTCTCTCAAAGGGAAAGCTCTTTTCTCAGACCCCAGGCCCTGATGTCCCACCCAGCCCACCATTGACTCAGATGCCGAAAGAGTCTGGAGCCAGAAGCCCTAGAGTGCTAGGTGGCCTTCAGGGAATGCCCTAGCTAGCTTTGTGGTCTGTCACCGCCTCACTCTGCTCCACTTGCTTACCACAGTGTGGGAAGGAAGTATTTTGTAAGGTGTAGAAGAAACCTTAGCTCACACAGATTAAACACAGGTGCATGTGCATGTGAGTGTGCGCGTGCATTGTGTGTGCATGTGTGCGTGTGCGTGTGCGCGTGCGCGTGCATTGTGTGTGCATGTGTGCGTGTGCGTGTGCGTGTGCGTGTGTGTGTGTGTGTGTGTGTGTGCGCGTGCACTCATGTGAAGACACCTATGAGGGACATGTGGATTGACTAAGGAGGTTACCATATCTCAACCCAGCACAACTAAGCCCAGTGAACTGGACCACTCTGGCCACTTCCCACCAGACCCCACTGCTAGGACAGCATCCGTACCCCCAAGAAGTCCACCAATGGGCAGGCCTTGGGAAGCAGAGAGCCCTAGAGACTCAACCCTGGCTTGAGTTGTTGGTTAGTTTTTTGTCAACCCGACACAAACTAGAGTCATGTGGGAT